GAAAAAAGTAAAAGGAAATAAAAATAAACCCAAACCAAAAACTAACTAACTTTAGTCAAATTTTTGGATGTCAGAGTTCTGGCGTGAGGGGGGCGATGGAGAAATAAAAATGTTTGATCAAATTAAGGCATTTGAATTTTCTTTGGCTCTCGAGTCAGATTGTATTTTCAACTTCCCACCTCTTCGTAAAAACTTCTAATTCCCATGGAGGAACTTTAATTCAAATTATTACCTGTAAGCACCATTAGCTATTGAAATGGCAGAAGATGGCAGGGTGGAAAATGATAATCCTGAACAATCAGTTCCATGGAAACAGTCATTTTTTTTTTTTTTCACTCAATAAATGAATGGCTGTTAGGTGCCAGGTACTGGGATAGAAAAATGAAAAAGATACCATCCCTGCCCTTAAGAGGTTTATAGTCTAGAAGAGGGAGACATAGATGGAAGCAAATCGGTACTCCGAAAATAGTTATTGGGAATGTGCTAGCATGCATGGTACCCCAGTGGGGATCAGAATAAGAGTGGTTGGGAGTGGTGGGTAAGAGTTGGAAGTGGTGACAATGAGAGTAAGGATATCATTTGAACAAAGACATAGGGGTGGAAGCAGGAAACAGCAGACTTATTTTGGGGAAATTACAAGTTTATTGGTATGGCAGGAGCATGGCGTGGGATGGGGCATGTAGTTATGGCAAAAGAAAAGGCTGGAGAGTTGGGCAGCAGCTAGATTTAGAACTTTGGATGCTTTGTTTAGGAATTTGGACTTTATCCAGAGGATTTACCAGAATTATTCTGTGGGATGGTGATAGGAAAGAAAGGAGTTTTGTGTGGTTAGAATTATTTGAGAGGCACCAATTGAAACAAAGTTAAGCAGGTGTATGTACTATAAAGCCTCTCAGACCTTTGGATAGCAGTTCCACAATTATTTGACTACTAAGATTGTTTGAAAGAGTATTTCCTGTTTCTCAGAATATGGTTTGGGAAACGCTGCAATATGCAGTGGGGAATCATTAAAAAGTTTTACGCAGGAAATTATAGACAATTATGCAATCTAATTCTATTCTCAATACATAGTGTAATACTGCTTATTAGGATTGTTCATTCAGTATTTTTTTTTAATACCAAATATTTTCAGAATGATGTACTAGATATTCCGGGAAATAGAAAGATGCATAAGACATGTCTGACATTAAAAAATAATGTGTCGATTATCTATAAATGTTATTTATCTGTGCAATTATTTGAGTCAAAGGCAATACAAATGTAAGGAAATTGAGGATAAACCTGGAGAATTAGAAATGTTCTGGGTGGCCCTTGCTCAGTGCTGATTTCTACAGGGTGTTTAATTCTCATTCTTTTGCCAAAGATTGTCACCAGTCAGAAACATGTGATTCTTTTGCCTCTTTTTTTGGACTAGGATTGTTTCTGGCAAGGGTCACCCAGGCAGCTCAGGGAATGTAATGGGAAGAAAGCTACCAAATTGAAAATTGAATTTTTTTGTGAGGGCAGGGGGAGAGGGAGTAGCTGTTGGTTTGTTTGACCCTCAAAAGTACCAAGGTCATCAGCATACTGAGGCTTTAGTAGGTTCAAACGGAGTCTTCAGGATATATTACAAAGGTATATCCAGGGAGTTAAGAGAAAATTTTTGAACGCGAAAGAGAAAGGGAAGTTGCATCTGGTGAAACAAAGATCAAATCCTGGAATCTGAGTATGTCTCAGATTTTTCCCTTACTTCCTATTTTTTTTTTACTGTGTGAAGGGAGAGAATCTTTAAATAATCTTCTTGAATTAATTGAATACGTGTTGAGTGTTTATTATTAGCCACATTATCTAGTAGAGAAACAGAATCAGAGTATCTAGAGTGGGTTGGTACAACCTCAGTCTTTTAATTGGCATTTTTTTAATGATCCAGGGCACTGGCCCTGGAGTTAGATGGCCCGGGTTCAAAGCTATTAAAGCATTCAGTCCAATTAGTTAAGGGCTCTGCTTCTTACTAGCTGTAAGACTTTAGGCAAATTATTTAACCTTCCTATATCTCAGTCTCTTCATATAAAAATAGGAAAATGATAATATATATCTCATAAGACCATGAGGATTAAAAGAATTAATAAATGTGAAGTGCTTAGAATAGTGCTTGCCACATGCCAAGGGTTTCATCAACTCTTGTCTTTAGGATATCTCTATTCCACTGTTTTCATTACAGTAATTCACTGTGGAAATCCATCAAGGAGTGGTTAGTTTTCTGGCCTAAAGAGGATTCTATGTTTGGAGAATGGCCTGCTAACTCTAAGTAGGATTGGGTATAAATGGACCATTACAAATTTCTAATTCATATAATTTTAAAATAAAGCAAATATTTGTACATTTAAATAATAACAAAGCTAACATTTGCTGAACATATACTATGTGCCAGGAGTTGTTCCAAGACCTTTTTATCAATTAACTTATTTTAGAGTTGAGGAAGCTGAGTCATTGATAGAGTAAGTGAATTGTCCAAAGTAATACAACTAGTTAGGGGCAGGATTCAAACCCAGGCCATCTGACCCTATAACTCACACATATCTGTTACGATATCCTATCTTTCATGCAAATGCATTCTGTATTTTACATTGGTTTTCAAAATCTTTTATTTCATTTACTGCAAACATTTATTTCAAAGTCTTTTATTTCATTTACACACGTAAACCATTAGTGAAAAAAATAATTTTGTAAATTAATCATTTCAGCATAAAAATATTTCTTTTTCTGTTCTAGAGAAGAGTTGCTCTTGGTACGACATGTTAGAGCCATTTTAACGACAATTCTTTTGTTCTTTGGAAGTATAAGATTATGAATTTGATTTCACCAGAGCATCCAGATGCATGCATCCATTCTTTAGAACCAGTTTTCACTTTACATCCCAGCTGCATATTTTCAGAGTAGAGCATACATAATATCACTTTGCATGCATTTTGTAAAAATGGCTGCTTTTTCACTATAATTAGGGTTAAGGTATTAAAATAATTAAGGTTTTTTATCAATCCTAAGCTATAAAATGCATGTTTTGTAGAGTTTTAAAATGAAGAACAGTGTGACAAATCATACTTTTTGTATTCTTCAGTCAAAAAGACTATACTGCTCTAAAAGTTATGGATCACTTTAGTTGCTCTACTTTATTGGTGCTAATGTACTTTCAGGGTTGCTTTTAAAGAAAACCGGGCAAAACTAATTTGCCACTAGATGGAGCCGTGGCTATTGGGTAGAAATAAGTGCAAGAGAGTTGGAGCATTAAATCACAGTCATATCCTGCTAGAGGGCCCCCGGTATTTGAGGCCCTTAACTTTTAATTGTAGAATGCATCTTTGTTCTTTGCCTGACCTGCAGAGTGACATCACTCCCTTTCTTCCTGTGCGCTGGCTTTGACACAAGCCAGATGGCCGCGGCCATCGGTAGGCGCGCAGGCCGCCTGGTACAGCAGTTGATGAAACAGAGTAGGAAGACGTTTTATGATCAGCTGCGGGAGCACAATGAGGCTACGGCTTTACTAAGTAATTACATTTACCGTGCACACTTTATTCCTCACAGAGAAGGTCACGAGGAAAAAATACATTTTTATTTATAGTGTTGTGAGGTATAGACCTTTGATCTTTTATTAGTCAGTAGTCTGCTCCAAAGGAATGCTCTCCTTTCCCTGCTCTGCAGTCACTCGTGAAAATGGCATGTTTATTTATGTTTAATGGTTCTTTCAGGCTGTGCATTGTGATACTTACCTTCCCTCTTCCTCTCTTTTGTGTCCAGTTAGTAACACAAAAATGTTTTAGTTTTGTAGTGAGAAGTCAGAGTTCAGGCATGTTAATACAAGCAGATTTCTGTCAGATATACTCCAGAGCGATTTAGTAAAATATATCAGTTTATTATGTGTTTGTTCTTCAAGAAAGTCTGAAAAGACTAGGAACAGACTTTTATTTTAGGAAGGGATGAGGGTCAGGAAATGAACTAGCCATTAATTTTGTATCCATTTTTTGACATTTGTGGATATTTCAAATTAACAATGCTAATTTGAAATAAAATCTTAGAAGTTAATATAGTATTTTTCATCTTCATTTCAAGTTAATCTTTACCAACTGGAAAATTATACAAAACATTAAAGAAAACTCTTAACTGAACTTTTCTCTAAAGTTTATCACACACAGTTTTGAGCTTCTTCCACATGATTCATTTCCAAAAGCTTTAAAAAATATTTTTTTCTTTTTTTTTTTTTTTTTTTTACAATTTTTAAGGCTTGGTTGTGAATATTATTCACCGAATTGACCTAGAAAGTATAAATCATAAAATCAAATGAAAATTCATATTTGTTATGCTTTGTTCAAACTTAACACTTTCTAAAGTGAAGTCTCCTAGTTGTCCCTAGGTTATTTGGTTCTCTATTAACCAAAAATAAAACTCTAACAAAAGAAATCTCTTAATCTTACAATCTTAAAATATTTTACAGTCCTCTCCAGGGAGGAAGATTTGCAAATAATTGCTGGAAGAAAGCAGCATGGTGTAAGGAAGAATACACAGTTTTGCAGTTAGATATAATGGGGTTTTGTAATCCCTTTTTCACTGGTTATTTGCTTTGTGCCCTTGGACCTCTGAGGTTTGGTTTCCTCACATATGCACTGGGGGATAAAACCTACCTCTTAGGGTTATTGTAAGAACGAAATGATTCAATGTGTATATTAGGCCCCAGACAATTCCTGTCACATGGTGTGAACTCCGTAAACGCTAATTCCTTAACACTGTTTTAAACTTGGTCTCTTTTCTGAACCTCTTGCAAAATGTGTTCATAGATTACAGTATTATATTGTGTATATTTTATTAATAATATATAGATAAACCTGGGTTCAAAGTAAGCTCACCATCTGAAAAATAGGTATTTGAAATTTATTAGCACTGTGTATATGTGTTCAGGTCATCAATTGTGCAATGAATGTGTTTAACATTTGTGATGTTTTAATTTTTTTCTTTTTTCTCCTACTCAGCTCTTGCCCCTGTTCTTTGCCTCTCGTTTTGTTGGTGAAGATATCACAGTGATGTCTGCATTCAACCTGCTGCATTTGGTGACAAAGAGCCAGCCGGTAGCCCTTCGAGCCTGTGGGCTTCCCTCAGGTTGCTGCTTCTTGTACTGTACCTAGTAAGGGCACTGGTTTGGATGGGTGTTTCTGCTGCAGGAAATGATACACCATAATGCTTTGCTAAATTTTGTTTTCTTTTACTCGGGCCCTAATTTGAAGATGGAAGTTGGTTATAAATCATCACTCTACTTTGAGTAACATTCATTTCCAGAATCCTTACGACCCTTACAAACATTGTCCAGTTTCCTTGCTCAGTATATAATTGTCACTAATATTTCATGATACCTACTTGTTTTTTAATGCACATTACACATCTGAAAATCATAATGTTGCCCATAAGAGGCTGGCAGTCTTGATAAGACACTGCCCTAAATCACACAAAATAGCACATTCACCTTGTTAAAAGATAATGAAATGCTTTCATTCCATATGTGGCCATTCCTTTAGGAAAGAAAGAAAATTAAAACGAACAACTTTAGAATTATAAAGCTAGTTAGCTATTGTAGTTAAAATGAAAAAATATTCTACTTAACAGTAACCAAGTAAACAGAACTAATATAGTGGTGGTTCTAACTTAAGAACCACCAGACTTTTTAAAAATGTGATTTTAAGCATTAAACAGGTGAGACATGAAAGTTGAAAATTTCATTAGGTGCCTGTATAAGCATAAGTTTAATAATTTATTATAAAAATCATAGTGGCCAGCTATTTTCTGTGAACATTATTGTCAATATTATTTATATTTTCTATTAATATACATATGTCCAGTACTATTTTGTATAGAGAATTTAATTCTAACTCATTAAACATTATTGAACATTAACTATGAGTGCCAGGCATTGTGTGAAGCAGTGAGGATACAATGATAAACAAGATTAAACCAGTTGCTTTCACAAGATGGAGCTTGAGCTGTGTGAGGACCATCGAACCATATGGTGCTAAGACTAGACTAAACATATTAATACCTGGGATGTTAGGGGAATCTAGAGGAAGACTGCCTTAGCTCTTTGCTTAGAAGAAGAAATTTTGGAAGAGAGGGAAGGAGTCTGAAGTATAAGGAGGGCCTCATAGAGGATACAATGTGCTGACTCTCAATCTATGCACAACAGTCAGCCACGTGCCCAAAGAAGGGGGAAGACATTTCTAATACATGGAGTAGCATGGACAAAACACAAAGGCCTGAGAGAGCAAGGTATGTTCAGAGCAGTGCAGGTTATTTGATATGGCTAGCTTGGGTTGGTGATGGCAAGTAGAATTGGTGAGGAAGGAAAGTAGCCAAATCAGGAAGCGCCTTATATGATGTTTTAAGGAATTTAAATCTTGGAAGAGGGATGAAGGGAGAATGACGTGACTTGATTTGCATTTTATGATTATTGATTTAGTATGGTGGAGGGTCAGTGCTAGTTCCATATGTTTCTATAAGAAGGCTTGGATGGCAACTTGATTAGAAGGGAGGATAGGGCATTTGTCTTAAAGCTGTATTTGAATAGTAAACATCTGTTGTTGTTTTGTTTTTTTTTTTTTAAAGAGCTTTTATGTCTGTTTGTGGTGACATGAGAGGCTAATGAAGCTTAATGCATAGGGGCTGCAACCACTCTTCTCAGTACCTTTGCCTCCCCCACCCAGCCGTGGCCCTGCACTGCCACCCTAGAGTCTCTTGGAGGAGTTTGAGGCTGGAGGGACTCAAGAAGTGGTGAGAGCCTTAACAATGGTCATTGCAGTAGGTTTGAGAAGAAGGGGTATGGGCTAGAGAGAGGGTCAGACTGTATAACTGACAAGGTTTATCTGTTGAATTTTGTATGAGTTTGAAGGAGAACATCAGCCAATGTAGTAGTCCCTGTGCCAGGTGGAACTTTTTCATAACTATATATTACATATAATATTGGAGCATGAAAAGTATTTAATTTACATATAACCATGTTTTCTACTGAAAAAAAAAAAAAAAAACCCAAACGTGTGAGAACACCAGCATAGCTAGCTAGCTCTTGTAACATGAGTTTGTAGTACACAGAGGAAGCTAAGTATTTACAGAAATAATTTATTAATTAACAGGATATTCCTCGAGATATGACAGTCATGGAATTAAAGAGTTTCATAATATTCTCTGAGAATATTATGAAAGTGTCATTAAATTTTTAAATCAAGTGTCATTAAATTTTTAAATCAAAATGATTCAAAGATAAATTCAACAAAGCCATTTTTAAGAAGTAACCATTGTAATATAGTACTTAAGCACACAAATCCTGGAATTTGACTGGGTTTGAAATCTGGCTTTGCCACTTATCTAGCTGTGTGCTTTGGCTTCCTTATTTGTATTATTATTGGAGTAAGTGTTGTGAATATAAAATAGATTAGGATGTAAAAACTGCTTAGAACAGTGGCTGGCATGTAGTAAGCACCATATATAAATAAATGTTCACTAAGTTTACTATAGAAATCTATGTCAATATTGGTATATATTTTTTATGTATTTCTAATATAATAGACTTTTAAAAACATTCAAATTTGTCTCATCTTTTACTTAACTATTTTTACTTTAATAGGAACCACAAATGCACTTTATGTTTGAGAAAGAACCATCTCACTATGGTGTTTTGATCTATTTATTTTACCTATAT